GGATCAGCTTTTGCCAGCAGCTTCGTTGCCAACTTCGACAAGCGCACCTATGCAGCAGAACACACTCCTAATCCGTTCTACAGCGACAGGCGACTTCACTGGAACATCGGCCGCCTCCCAACAGCCCTCAGCAGCTGCGTCTCGGCGGGCCGCTGGCGAGAGGCACTGCTGTGCACACTCGAGCCAAAGCGATGAAGGACATGCGAAGTTCTATCAGAGTGCTGCCTTGATTTTGAAGTGTGTCAATATGCTCTAATTGTTCGCAGTATCCAAACTGCACGACTGTTTGTAAGTACTTCAGTTGGCGGCCGGAAATGGCCGGAAGGCCCGAAGAGAGTCTCCTTGAGATCCATCCTCTCCGTACTGGGGAAGCCTCCGTAGTCCCTATGAAACGAAGTGGGTGGGGGAGAGTGTTTTGTTTCTGCAACCTTCCCATCAAGTTGCTTTCACGGGAACCGAACGGACTGGGATCAGGAGACACCCGAGTCTGAGCCTTCATGGTCCTGTCAACTTAGTCTAGTCTAAGGCATGGCACCTGTCGGTCTTGTCCATTTGTCCATGAGAAGAACCAGACTCCCGAGCTACCACTCAATGTGCAGTTCTGCAGGCTCTCCAGGCACTGTACTGGGTTGGGGAGCACAAGCTCACCCCAGATGCGGCCGCGTTCCCGGCATCTGTTGAGTGCTGCATGTATCCGAAGCAAGGAACTTGTTCGTTTGTCTTTGAGATGCTGCAGCCGCAGCCGTTGTTATTTAGATCACTTCGAAGATCAGAGCAGAAGCAACGCTGCGGCCATGTCCTCCGACGCTCTCACGGCCGCAGGGACATGCATGTTCGACGATGCAGTGATGGCTGACAAGCTGCCTGCCGAAGTCGTTCAGCGCTTCAACGAGTGCTTGATTACCGGTGCTCCTACAACTGAGGCACTAGTGCAATATTACTAGGTCCTGAATATGAGACTTTTGAAGTTGTGTGGAGGGTGGGCGTTTGTTTCGTGAGAGCTTTGCAGTTGAGACACGCCTCGAAGGATGACCAGAAGGTCATCTCGGAAGCGATCTTCGAGTGGGCCCGGGAGCGAGGGGCGATTGACTTTGCCCACTGGTTCTTCCCTCTTCGCGGCAGCTTGGCATAAACCTCGGACCCATCCCTATTGTGCGGTGAGAGGCAGATAGCTGTGGAGAGCTGCATGCAACTTAGCCTTTGCTGCGTAGCGGGCCATGAAGCGACCCAAGGCGGTGGCGGCGCCGTCGGTGGAATGTTAGGCGCCTTCAAGAAGGACACTCTGATGGACCTGGAGTTTGGCTCCCAGTTCACGACGAAGCCGATGAAGGCTTGCCTGCCTCACGAGCGTCTCTTCCAAGGAGAGACGGATGGCTCCTCCTTTCCCAATGGCGGCCTGCGTGTTACACACTCTGCAGCCGCCTTCACCACTTGGGATAGATCATCCCCACCTTTTGTGATGGATAGCTGTCTGTACATTCCATGCGCTTTCGTTACCCACTTCGGGAAGTGCATCGATGAGAAGACTCCGCTGCTGCGGTCGATGGATGCCGTCAAGACGCACGGCCTTCGGTTGCTGCAGGCTATCGGCATTGGCAAGGATGCTCAGACAATGCACAGCTACTTGGGTTGGGAGCAGGAATTCTTTGTCCTCTCAGCAGATCACTTCAAGGCCCGCCCTGACTTGGTGAACTGTGGCCGGACACTGTTTGGCAAGCTGCCCACACGGCACCAACAAGGGGACCTAAATTACTTTCAGGCGATCCCCGGCAAGGTGCAGGAGCTTCTGGATGTCGTTCAGGCGGAAATGCTGAAAATCGGCTGCCCCATGGCCGTGAAGCACAACGAGGTGGCGCCTGGCCAGCACGAGATGTCCCCCGTCTTCCGTGCTGCCAACGTGTCTTGCGACAGCAACGTCTGTTTCATGGAGGTCATGAACCGGGAAGCCTCGAAGCTCGGCCTTCAGGTGCTCTTCCATGAGAAGCCCTTTGCCGGTATCAATGGCAGCGGCAAGCACGCTAACTGGTCCATCGGAACTGACACCGGCTTGAATTTCTTCTATCCGGGAAAGAATGAAGATGGGGCCAAGCTGTACGTGACCGCCATTGCATGCTTGGCCTATGGACTGGCACAGTACAACGAGACTTGGTTCTTAAGTCTTGCTTTTGCAGACAATATTATAATGTGTGCACATCTGCGGCGAGATGTTGACTGCGGATGCCCTGCCTCTTGTGCATATGAGTGCTCTTCCGGGACAGAGCCATTGTCCGTTGTCTCGTTACCAGACTGAACCGAGGAGATGGTGCGGTGCACCGTGGCCAGCGCTGGCAATGACCACCGCTTGGGAGCGCAAGAAGCGCCCCCGGCCATCATCTCTTTGTACCCGGGCCAGGGCTTTGAGTCCTTCGTGGATTCCGTGGTCAGCGGCGGCGATCTTCTGGGTGCCGGGCTCGAGATTAAAGCTAAGATTGAAATTCAGGGCAACAAGGTCACTCCTGGAGTTGTGTGTGTGTGTGTGTGCGTGCACGCTCGCGTCTTCTGCACGGTCTGGAAAGCCTCGAACTGAACAGGATACAAGGCCGAGAAGAAGAAGCAGGAGACGGGATGCAGCTCTGCCATGCACATCGAGGCCAACGTTGAAGACCGCAACCGCACAGCCCCGTTCCCCTTCTGCGGCAACCGGTTTGAGTTCCGTGCAGTGGGCTCCTCCCAGAACTGCTGCCTCCCAATCATGGTCTGCAACGCTGTCATGTCTGCTGGAATGTCACACATGGCTTCGCTCATCGAGGGCGGCATGAGCCATCGTGATGCCGTGGCTCAAGTGTTCAAGGAGAACAAGCACGTGATCTTCACCGGCAACGGCTACTCTGCGGAATGGCCCGTCGAGGCAAGCAAGCGAGGCCTGCCGAACTTGAACACCACGCCAAAGGCCATTGCCACCTGGAGCTCTGAGAAGAACACCAAGCTTCTCGAGACCCTGAAGATCTACACCAAGGAGGAGACAGAGGCACGGCAGGAAGTGATGTACGAGAACTACATCTCCTGCATCTGCCGCGGCCTGAGCATCGTTTACTAAAGACTCGCTTGTCGGAGTGTTTGTCGCATTCTGTCGATGAGGCTGCGAGGTGGAAACCATGATCCAGATGGTCGAGACCGGTTTTCTGCCTGCATGCGCCAAGGAGCCCAGAACTTTGTCAGGTTATGTTTGGCATGCCGGGCGACACATGACAGTCCCTTCAGCAAAACTGAACCAAAGCACAGGACCTGGCCAAGTACAACAGTGTGGACAAGCTGAACGGTAGCAGGAAAGCTGTCTACGAGAACGTTGTGGACCAAGTCGAGAAGTTGCAGGCCCTCCCTTGTTTGCGACTCGCGTTTTCGAATGTGGTCTTATCGAAACAACTGTGCGAACTGACCAGAATCCTGTCATGGCCTTTCAACATCGAAATTAAATCTACAACCGGCAGATGCGAAACGCTGAGCCGCGAAAGCTTCCCAGGCAGTCTACAAGGCCAAGCCCCACACCTCGCTGGCGGAGGAAGCCACGTACCTCTGCGACACGGTGAAGTCCGGAGCCCCAGTTCTCGGAGGGCTTTTGGGATGGGGGTGCAGGTCCACCAATCCACCAAAGCTCGCAGATTATTATAGTTTTCAGCATGTGCTTGCCGGAAGATTTGTCTTGGGAATCCTAGACTCCCCGCAGCTTTTCATACTGGCAGATGCCGTGTCTGCAGGCTTGCAAATTGAGAAGGCGGGGCCTGAGGTTTCCCCCAGTTGCCTCCCATACTTCTCAGCTCGGTTATTAGCAGCCGGCGAAAGAAGCATCTGATTTTAGGACTATTTTAGGTAATTCAGGTTGAATCTGCCACTGATTTCCGATACCCTTAGAGGGTATAGTCCTGTAGAACACACCGCAGGACGCAGATGGTGGCTCTGCGCGCCGCAGCAACTTGTCTGCCCTGTCTACACTCACTCGAGATTGGGTCACGAATTCATTGATAGATGTTTTTCATTGTTCCTGGTCCGGCCTCATCAAGAAATGCGGACCCGAAGTTAGTTTCATTGTGTACTAGTGCTACGACCCTGTGCTGGTAGAACCTGTGTTTGGGTTAGGGTGCACGTTGGAGCGATTCGGAACTAAACGTTTTGAGCTATGCCTCCTGTTAATATCTCGCAGGTGGACAAGGCAGAAGCCATGATTGAAACAAGCTTGTGCCCTGGCCGCAACCGAGCCAATCATGCTGAAGACTTTTCGAGTTTGATGACAACCATGCGTCTCGCGCTGCTGGTATCATTTACAATTCCTGTTCGTTCGAGCGTCATCGAGGTACCCGTTTCCCACCTACGAGTCTCCGGCTCGGTCGAGAGGGCTCCGGGCTCTTGCGCAGGCGGCTGTCGTATTTTGTGGCTGTCTGAGGCAGATGATCTACTCCCACCATTTCTGAGCTGAAAGGCTCAACCTGAATCGGACGACTCTACTGCCTCAAGCACCGCCGAACTTGGACGAGATCCTCGAGACGGTCAGTGGAGCTGACCCTCGCGACGCCGAAGTGCCGAGCAGGGCAGAGCTGAGAGCGGATCTCCCGCGGAACTCGCGATGTCTCATCATGACCGTACTACCGTACGCAGTCCCTACATCACCTTTGATGAATCGCGGGTAGTCCGTAGGCAGCGCCCTGGAGTGGTGTGCAGAAAGCCAGTCCTTCAGTTTTCCCAAGAACTGGATGGCTTTGCGCAGCACAGCCTGCTACGAATCGACAGGCTGCTCAGAGCCTTGGCAGTCTGCTTGTCAGACATGTGAAATCCCTGAGAAGGGTGTTCCAGGCTATGTGGACGAGAAAATGGTGCAAGATGATCTCGGATTGAGAAGCATTGCATTGGATGGCACTGCGTTCTAGCATGACTTCGTTGCAGGCCCAACTCTGAAATCCCAGGTCTGCTACAATGTCGTCATTTCGGCGGCGGGGCGGAATGTGCGCTGGCCTGCCGCCTTGGAGATCATGGCAAGCCTGGTTCGTTCCACAGCTGAGCCCACCGCCACTTGACGAAGTCAGCTTTGAAGAGCTGCTAGGCCTACACCTGTGATTCGTTTGTACCGTCAGATTTACTGAGAGATCATATTTACGAGGCCCCCTGTTGGAAGAGACTAGCCGACTGGGTTCGTAGTTTCGGGCCATGCGTAGACTTCCTGGGAAGCCCTCAAGACTCAAGTGCAGGCAGAGACCCCCAAACTTTGGTAATGTAGTAATGTGTCTCGAAGTCTCGCAAGAAGGGTATAGGCCCGCAGTGCTTGATGAGATTCATGGTTTGGCAACAGAAATGGACAGGGCCGGCAGGCCGGCCGAGCCAGAACAGTATGCATTTTCAATAGCTCAGGTAAGCAGCTACAACGCCGTTTGCTCTGCATTGGCTGCAGCCATGCGTTGGGCGCAGGCCCTCCACGCTCTTGCCGGCATGAGGCCAGTCTCCTAGGGGTGCTCGTAGCCTGAGCAATGAATCGTAGAAGGATAGCACTAGGTAGTTGGTGACGCCGAAGAGCTCCAAAAGCCGAAGAGTCTGCTGCCTCGGCCCTGCAGTCCCATGGATAAGATAATTCACCGACATCCACGTTGAGCAGCTGCATGCTCTCCCTATGTCTGCAAGACATGGCCAGCGGACATAAACGATAGTAAGGATGAGGATGACAGTCATGCGCAATAAACCTGGATCCGGGTTTGCGAGGCACCTGGGCGCACGGGCGGAAGTCGCGGGATACGGAGCCGTCGTGAAGGCAGTCGGGAGGGTTGCAGAATGCTTAGGCATGGTGGCTGCTTCTGTGGGTGAATTTGATTCACGGCTGTTTGGTATCAGGACCGACTGAAGGGGTAGGATGTCAGCATGCTGGGTTGCACTGCTTCCACCGAGTTACACCAGTGTGCCTACACCTCATCATCTGGCCCGACCGACAGGCTTGCTCCATGACGAGGAGGTGGCAGCATGCCGTGCACCTTCTGCTGGCCATGCGTGGCTTGAGGGTGGTGGATTTGCAGGACGGGACCCCTTTCAAAGCGATTTCGAGTGGAAAGATGTCTCGCGATGTCAGGCTCTCCGCGATGTGCAAGCAGCTGTGGAGCTCGTGCACATGTCGATCCCAGATCAGCCTCTCAGCAAACCGAAGCAGAGGCTAGGCGGCATGCGAGACACGATATGCCAGCTGTCTAGCTCTGCGCCCTCAGAAAGCATGCGTTATCATGCCTTCAACTTGGGTAATCTCTGCACTTACCCCACAGGCGACGGATTGATGACTCCTTCGCATCCATGTCGTCAGCTCTCACGAGTTTGCTGGAGGGCAGAGGCTGGGTTTTTCACTTTGGACCCAAGCGCCTCCTGTTTCTCCCAAAATCCTCGGGATTTTCCGAGTCCGCCCAGACGACAGCGAAGCCCACATCGACCTGGCGAGCCCCGAGCAGCGAGTGGTGCTGGAAACCTTCTCTTGGCATCGGGCGGTGCCAGAGAAAAAGCACGAAAGGGATATTTGGGTGAGCCTACCAACTGCAAGTTTCTCTCCAAGCTCTCTAGTCCATGCTGCTCGTGCCCGCAATCCACCGGCGGCCTGTGTCGGACAGGAAGCTGGGTGCCAAGAACCTGGAAGAGGCGCTGAAGATTCTGAAGGACCTTTCTCAGCCTCGGAGCAGTAAGTACCTTAATTGGGGTTATAAGTATAGTTACCCTAATTATAAATTATAACCCTAGTTACTTAGCCCCACGATCCTTTAAGTAAGTCACGGCCTCTGACCGCTTCGGACAGATAACACGCCCGCTCCTCCTCTGACCCCGCACAAGCTTCAACCCCAAGTGTCGGACGCCATTTCAGTTCCACCCTAAGGCCTGATGACTTTCTGCAGCTGAGTGAGGTTAGCCATGTGCACCTATGCAGGCTAGTAGCAATCCTGAAAATGTGGACACTGGAAGAGCGTTATTCAGACATGCTGGCTGTATCTGCAAAATATTGCAAAATCATCAAGCGTGATATGCATGCTCCAGGGCGCGGGGTCCATGGCCCTTTCCGCATGAGAGGAACGAAAGCGAGCTAGCAAGATCTAGCAAGGATGACACAATCAACGACAAGAGAAATCCAGAGTATTCTGCAGTGTCGTACCTGGAGTTCCAGCGCAGTAGTCAGTAGTCACGATCGTGCTCCTGACATGAAGGCAATAAAAAAAGGGTGTTTATGAAGCATGCACTCGGAACCTCCTGGGGTTCTTACTGCAATCAGAGGCCTACATGACTCGGCAAATATGGGAGTGTCCTTCAACTAGGGGTACCTTATTATGGGGTCCTTATAATAAGGATCCTACTATTTAGGGCACTATATTAGGGTCCCCCGTTTTCGGAAACTCCCATTTCGGAATGCTCCTTCGTTGAATGTTGTCGGAGAGCTGAACGTGGCAGGAGCCTGCGCAGCTCATCGAGGCGGAGTCGGGCCCAAGGCCGCTGGGGTTCTTGCCATTCTCAGGTAGAAGAAAGGCAAGAATAACAGCAACAACACGAGGAATCATCATAAGAAATGCGAATAGTTGCAATGCCAGTTAATAAACATACGAACAGCAATCTCTATCTATGCTTTGCTTCCCGACGTTCTCGCGTCGAAGAAGCTTTGTGTTGTGAAGATGAAAGCTTGACTGCTGCTTGCCCTAGGTTATTGCAGTCAACGCTGGACAAGGACGCGCCTTTCGAGGCAGTAGGGTGTTCACAGTTACTGTGAAAGCCTCTTGCAAAGATCATCGTGCCTTTCAGCGCAGGTGTTCGTCTCCAATGTTGAAGCATACCGCCGGGATCGCACTCGGAGAATCGAGGAAGGGCGCGAGTTCTGCCATGGTGTCCCTGCTGGCCTGCCCGCTGCCTGCAGTGAAGTGCTCGAGGCTGGCGACGAGTCGGCCAAGCTGAGCTTTCCGAAGCCCCAGGCGAAGCAGGCCACGGATGAAACGGGAGAAGCCGCAGCTGAGCTTTCCAAAGCAGTGGCACCGCAGGCTGCTGCACCAGCGAAGGTAAAGCAGCCTGCACATCCCCCGCCAAAGCCGCCCGCAAAGGCTGGCATCTCTTGGGAAGCGAAGGTAACCATCCAGACTCCAGACCAGCATAACTGCAGCTTCTTTTGAACTGCGGGCAGGCAATACCCAAGCAGCCATCACAGCCGCCGAAGGCACGGAAACGGGTGCATCTGTCTGCCGTACCTATCTTGAGTTCCGATGAGCCCCTGATTTCTCAATTTTTTGACCCCAGGCACCGGTGCCCAAGAAGCCAAGGGAGCCTTCCACACCACCGCCGAAAGCTTTGGTCAAGAGGATCGCGAAGGTGGCCGTGAGCTAGCTTGCTTTGGAATAATGATAACAACTTAGTACCAACTGTAATAACCATCATCATAATAGTAAGAATCATTTTCATAATCATAGTAAGACTGATGCTAAGGCCAAGACTGCGAGTAGGACTGAGAATAACGCTAGGACTAGGAGTAATAGAACCAACTGTATTAGTCCAATAATACTGACGTCAACAATAACCATACTACAGACGAAGGGGTTCGGTCAGCTGATCAGTCGACTGATGGAACTGCCCTTTCACGTCCGAGACACTGGATTCCGCAGACTTACTAAGCCAACTTAGCCACAAGTCCTCACGGGGTCCTGACTCCCAGACTTCGGGAAGCCCGGATACTGACCAAATCGTCGAGGGAAGATTCTCAAGCATAGGGGTGTGGATATTGGTAAAGCAAAGGCCAGCAGGATCCAACAAGTTGCTACGGACAGAGTCTTAGTACCAATCGTGCTGCTCCCTACGTCCAACCTGCGCCCTTGAAAGAACCCACATAGCAATAGCAAGCCTGCTAGACCTTGTTCATGAAGACCCCTGCAGTGCTACAGAACCCTCTAAGGAGCCTTGTAAGGAACCCTGTGTCAAAGACTGGCCCGGCCCTTCAACGAGGCGCCGGCAAAGGGAGGCGCCGCCACGGTGAGCGTGGCCAAGGCCAAGTTTGCAGTGTGGGAGTTTCCGAAAATAAGTTTTCCTGATTATGTAGTATCCTGAATAATATTCTCTTATAGTACCCTAAATAGTAGGATTCTGTTTATAAGGACCCCAAAATAAGGTACCCCTAATTTTCTGAAACTCCCGTGTGGTGTTGCTTTGGCTAGGAGGCGCCTTTTGGGAGCATTTGTCATAGGGGCCCCTTTGCTGAGAGAAGGTTGTTTCTTGTACTGTCGGCTGATATTCGGCCGATAATCGGCCCGAGGATGCCAGTGTCCAAAGAGAGGGATGAGTGGTCTTTTGGGATATATCATTTCAGTTGGGGCTTCCCGTTTCGACTTCATGCAGAGTTGTGTTGCTAGGTAGGGTGAAGTTTCGAGCCGGACGAGCGCTCCTTTTTGCAGGTTCCGTGCCGCATCGAAGATTCCAAGTTCCTGCTGGTATGGTGTCTCACATCTTGAGTAGCTTCTATAGGCCTTATTAGAATCCACAGAAAACACTCCCATGTCGTAGAAACGTCATGTTCACAACTCTGCAGCTCAGATTGCATTCGAGAGACCGCCACATGCAAGGCGCCGCAGAAACGGCCCATGCCGGAGGCTACACTGCCTCTTGCCAAGAGGTGCGGCTGGTCACCACTGCATAGCTCGTCCCGAAAGTCACTAGGTAGTGCTTTGCGGAACGGCGGTGACAGCTGCAAGTGCTGTATCGGCTGTCCTGAATGCTCCTGTCCTCACTACAACCGCTGACCAGACCGCGCCCGATCGGTGCCAGCGTGGTTCCGGCATGGATTGCTTTGCTGTGTGCTTCCTGGAGCAGCTGCCACTTGTCCATGCGAGCTACTTCCGAGCTTGTTGGGCTGCACTGAGAGCAAGGGGCAACCGCCGATCGTCAAGGCTCCCGTGATTTGGACGACTCAGGTCATGTGCAGAGTCTGACCCTGCGAATTCTGCGAGACCTCGGTTCGGGGAAGTCTGAAGTCCCACGGTCATGATGCTGCATGTTCTGCATGCTCAAGGTCAGATAGTGGTGGAGTCACAGGGGTTCTTTGGCCCCAGCATAGCATAGTGTGCCTGCACCAAGCCTGCTACTCCAGATGTCCACAACTCACACGCTGACGAACGCACTCACCCCATCAGTCTAGCCTACCCCAAGCCTCGACCAGACGCCAGCCCCAGCGGCCCCAGCCCCTCACCAGTATTGTTGAAGTGGAACCGCATTGGCGCAGCGTGGGCCTTGCGAGAGACCAGGCCAGGAGCTTGATCAAGTCGTGACAGTGAAGAGATGTGAAGGGCATGGAACAGAAGCTGTCACGAAAAGCTTGCGCCGGTTGAGCAGGAGCCGGGAGTGATGCAAGAGATGGAACTTGGTACTGAGTCGGAAGGCCCCGAGCGTGTTGGTTCTGCTTGTTCTTGCAGATGCAGGATTTTGCAATATAATTGTCATGGGTGAATCGAGACTTGATACTAACTGTTCTTCGAGCAGCAGCCAACAGATGGTTGTCATTCGGTCATTCGCTCGTAGCTTAGCAGCTAAGAAAAACAGTTACAGCACTGGTCGTCTTGTCATGCACTTTTGCAACAGCAATCAATTCCTGTGGCTTCCATGCGCAGCCAACAGTGATGCTCTGGACCTTTGGTAAAGGTATCAGCTTATTTGTTTTCGGTTTTGATATCTTGAATCCCTCAAGGGACCTTTTGTTGCCTCCGGTACCATTCAGTGATGACTGCCTCCTCAGGCCTAAACCAAGACCCTCCACCCCTTGAACCCTCAGTCCTGAACTTCTGAAGCCTACACTATGCATGTACAATGTAAGGTTAGACATGTTGTACTGTGTCGCAACCATAGGCTGCTGGGAAAGAGAATGTACATGTCACAGAGATGTGCGGAAACATGAGGCGAATGCCGGCAGATTTTCGACGTTTGGTCCTGGAACTTCGATGCTGAGTTTGGCCAGCTCTTGGCGGCCCTCTCATCGTCGCGGCCCGAAGCTTTTCCGGTCAGGATCTCCATTCCCTTTTGAAGCGCAGGGTGGGCGGAGTTTTGCGTTGTAGGCCAAGCTACGAGTCTGAGCAAGCTGCACAAGACCGGATCATGAAATGAATCACATGGCTTGCGACGGCCGAGGGCTAGTGATGGCGCGGTGTTGGCGCTGGATACTGTGCCTGGGCTGTCTAGTTGCTACTACCCATGCTGTTCACTCAGTGTTTCGGGATGTTTCGGGTAATTACAGGGTCTGGCTGATTCTTCATGAAAGCTCCTGAAGCGATTCCAGACACCTAAACCCAGGCTCTGGGTTTAGGTTCAGGGCTTCTGGATTGCTGACCTTTGTGAGGGTCGTACGATTGATCGATTCGCGGGAGCTCTCGAAAGCTCAATCCTGAGGAGTTTCCGGGCTTCTTGCGCGAAGAGAAGCAGACTGCGAAGCGCTCCGCAAGGCCCTTCCTTAGTAGCGGCTACTGCCACTGAGTCCGGAGTCCAGAGAGTACGGCAAGGTGAGGAGATTGAGGTTCCCTCTTCCCTCTGGTGGTTCCTCCGCAGGTACGCAGCGCTGCGCCAAAACTGCGACAATCTTCGGTCTGCTCCTTGTGGGGACACTGTTCGTGATACATGCCAACATGGTATTACCGCAGGCAGGCCTTGTCCGACTTTCTTTGGTGCCGTGATGTGCCGTGGCGGCTAAGGCCAATTCAGCTGGGCATCTCCGTGTCGCATCGTGATGGATCCCTCTGTGGGACTGCTTTGGCAAAAAGTGCAGCATGTCTTGATGGGAATCATCCGCATCTGTGTTGAAGGACCTGGTGCTTCAATCTTTCCTTCGACGTCGATGACTGAGCCAGCCAATCAAGTACAGCAGATCGGGTCGAGCAGCCAAGCATGTCTTCCGTGGACCCCTTGATTAAGTGCTGTTCTTTTCCTTCGGGCGCCAACGACCAAATCTCGTGCTGATTGAAGGAATGTGCCACACACCTCCTAAGGTCTACACGGACCTCTACACTGAGGCTTCTGCAACAAACAAAGTAGTCAACTCTGTGATAGGAGATGCTTGGCAGCTGTGAGGTTAGTACAAATTTCACTGTGCAGCTTCTGACATGTTGAGAGAGAGTGAGAGAGAGATCAGCCAAACCCTGAAGAACAGGGGCACTCACCAAGTACAGTCGAGCTTGTCCATCTTGTCCTCGAAATGATGGAGCGCAAACGCGCAGGCCAGGGGGACTGCCCTTGGTCTAGGTCTAGGCTCCAAGCAAAGCAAAGAGAGAGCAGCGAGGGCACCATAGAGCGACAAGAGCGAACACAAACACGGCTTTGATCTAAGGCAAGTATGCCTCTGTTCGTCGACTGGAGGATATTGACCCCTATCCTGTTTTCATTCTTAATCCGCTCCTTTTTTGTCTGCGAGCCCCGCTCAGCGATCCCGAGAGTGTCACGGCCAGGCCAGTCATGAACACCGGCCCGGGGACTAACATAATGGTAAAGACAAACCAAATGGCGCACCCCTGCCCAGCCATGCACCGACCGACATACCTACCGCCTAGACTACCATATCATGTTAGTAGTAGTGATAGTCAAAGTGGCCAGATCAAGACGACGTATCAATCTAGAATCTCCCGTATTAGTTTCTTGTTGTTATCGGTATGATACTACTGCAGCAATGACTATGCTTATGTGATCTTATGTGCTTATGTGTGTGTGTGTGTGTGTGTGTGTTTGGCTTTTCTTTTTTTGATTTTTCATGTATTTCTAGATGTATGCCACAATGTTGAGGGCAGTCCGGGAGGCATCCGTCGCCTTCCTGACGGCTGCGGGTTTGGACTTCCCACGCCACGCAGCAGAGGGCATTGACCCTGCCGAGGGCCTAGACTGAAGATTTTGGTCCCATGGTTGTAGGAGCAGCTGGGTTTAAATGGGGCCACTGGGATTAACGTGAAACCCAAAGACCCCCTAAGCCCTAAACTTCCTTAAGCCCTAAACCGATTTGTAAATATTGGGAACCCTTTGCTTGTGTCCAGAGCTTTCGTCTTGAGGCCAAAATCGGAAGAAAGCTCCGAGCCTCGCCCCTGGTAGGCGCATGGCTCGCTACTTTCGGGTTAGAGATGTTCTCCCCCAAAACGGGAAATTCGATTATGAATCTGTATTTAAGCTGAGAGCACTCTGTAGCAATGGATTTGTGGAGGTTCGTATTTTGAGCGTCGCCTCGTGGAGGTCAGCAGGGCTGCAAGCACCGCTGGGTCACTTTCCAGGGATGGTACGACTTCGGGCCGCGAGCTGAGACATCATCACTGGTTGCCGAAGCTGCAGGCCTCCTCTGCCTCTTCCCTGAATCCGCAGCATGACAGCGCACCGGAATCCTGGCTGGAGCAATACAGGTATATGCTCCGACTTTTGACCCATCGCCGACTGCCTCCGGACTATGCTGCTTTCGAGGACACTCATGTTGGGGAAGCTTCACAGCTTGGGTCCGAGGGTCCGAGTGACGCTAGGTGCCGCTAGATGCCGCTAGATCCGACATACGACATATTGTGCTTGTCATTTACTTTAAGCCGTTTTCACTCAGCCGGATGGGTGCATACTTAAAAGTGGCGGTCGGCACTCCAATCTGCTGCTTTAAGAGTGCCAGCCACTGTCTGTGCAGGAGCTTCGTAGCAGCTTCTTCACTGACCGCTATGAGTCGGGTCCGCGGATTTGGAGGGGACAATAGCATGCTACATGCTCTCTTTCCCTGCTGGCTTGAGGCAATGTCGCGGTCTGTTTGAGTTGAAAGCTTGTTTATGCATGCTGTGTGCAACTGGGCCGCCTTCGTGCCCGCCAAGGCTTCGAGATGAGCTGCCGCGAGGGTCCCTCGACAGCCTCCTCCGCGACTTCGGCACGGGCCCTGGCGTGGACATAGAAGGTCCAAGAGCAACGGACCGCGCGGCCGGTCTCGTGGGCTAGTGCGGTTCGGAGCTGTCGCATACTGTGCTCGTAACAGCAACTCCTGAGGAGTGGAGCGCTATGGAACGCCGCACACAGCGGGCAGTGATGCACTAGCGACGCTCGAGCTTTTCTTCGAGGCGGGGATTCGCAAAGGTGTTTTGCCGGTGACTGTCGGCACTTTGCACCCGTTCTCAGCATTCATTGAAACCCTTGATCAACGTCTCGCGTCTTTTGTAGGAGTCTATTATGCTCCGAAAGCACGCGAGGTCACACGAGAGGGTCCGAAGCGCTTCCTCTCGGCGGCCTCGGGCGGTTCTGAAGCGTCCACAGCAGCTTCGGCCTACATGCTGGAGACAGGCACAGCACAGATTTTGGTTGATGTTTTGTACTTAAGGCTGCTTGCAAGACCACAGGCAGGACATTGTATGTGCGGAGGTTTTGTGGTTGGCCTTTACCGAGTGCGATTGGCCCCCTCGGAAGCGAAGAAAGATCGATAGCAAGATCATGTCAGATCTCGAGTGCCAACACGCTTCCGGAACCACAGCATCAATCCCCGATCGACTAAATGTGTCATGCAGTAGCACCTGGAGTAACACCTGGGCATGGTGTGCAGGCAGTGGTTACTTCCAGGACTCCTCAGGCAGACTGGTGTCGCATCTGCTGCATGGCGTACCATGTTGACACATCCGACATTCGTTTTCCAGATCAGGAGGACAGTGCCGCGGTGATGCCCATGTCATGCCTACAGGCACTGTGTCATATGTCTTATCAGAAAACCACTAAACCCTAAACGCTAACGGTTTGGGGTTGAGGCATGTTTAGGGTTTATGGATGTTTAGTTCAGGGTTTAGGGATATGTTTCGCCAGGTTATAGCTACAGCCAGGGCGGCTGGAACGACGAGGCCGAACTTGACATGACCAGAACCGCTGCAGCCAAACGGAAGACAGAGCAAGGGCCGGGCAGACGGAGACTTTTTGCTGCTAGTTGCAAGGTTGCGGAGTTTTTTGCATGCATTGTGAATCAAATTAAGGAAACTGCTGGTCGTAAGGGTTTTTTGGTTTGGAGGGATTACCGAAGCACCATGCAAAACGCATTTCTTACACTAACAAGAGTCCTGAATGAAAGCGGCAAGCAGCAATTCGTGACTCCATCTGTAGCAAGTGTTTGAGCCACGGGCGTCTTTGCTGCATGGACATGTGTGTGCGTGTCTCCGCATCCAGGTAGGACACATCGGCTCGGATGTGGCACCAAGCACCGGGTTCAAGCTGAATGAGATGGACCTGCAAGGCCTGCTAACACGACGGAGACTGACACCTTTGATCTGCTTGCGTGCCTATGAAGACTCCTCAACAAGACGTACACGCTTTGCCAGCTGTGCAGACGCTGCGGACCCTCGGACCTTTCGAGCTAATGGCATGCTGTGTCGATTCCATGTGGACTCGGGACTCGTGCAGGTGAGAGCAGCCGATGGAACGAGGCGGCTTTCGTTTTCGGCTTTCAGCCTGCATAGCGTTGTCAGCCTTCAGCACGCCGCGACGTAAAATGGCATAGGATGGCATTTCATGGCATGCAGGAGCATGTAGAAGCATAGGTCAGTGCGTAAGACGTGTATCAAGCGGGGCTGTGGCTCGATGCCGTCCTTCTGCAGGGAGCCTTCATGTCCGTGGACGTTGCCGTTGCACCCCGGGCATGGGACGAGGCCTTCTTGTCATCTTCTCGACTCAGCTAAGTCACCGAATCCTGAAAGTTCTTGAGCAAAGACAGGCATAGTGTTGATGTCGATGTTGCAAGTCATGAGCGATACACTTGATATACTCATTGCACGGAGACATACAATCACGTACACCCACATGCGCCTGTGCATGTTGTGCACATGTGCAGACTTCAGAGTCATCGATCTCTGTACTGCGGGCCTGCCCTTCTGGGGGGGATCTGGAGCCGAGATGAGTCGAGCCGAGTAGAAGTTGCGGATGTTTGACGCAGGCGCCTGCTCCCTACATCGACAGCCCGACTGGCACAGGCCAGCCGCGATAGCCTCCGCTCTGCAGCCGAAGTGATTTAGATTAAAAGAGAGAGGGTTCTTGCAATGCCGAGGTTTAGTTGCACGTTATGGAAGTTAACAAGGGAGTGGCAAAGTGTCAGCCTGAGCGATCGGTCGCACCTCCAAAACGGTAGGCCAATGGCCGCTGCTCAGCACGCCCAGTCCTGGGCCGTCCATGCAGGCGAGCGAATTGCTGCTACCAACTTCCCGCGGTTTTTCTGCACAGGAATTCTAGCGCATTCTAGCCAACAGCCCAGCGACAGGTAGAGTTGCGCTGTACACACGCAGAGAGTTGAAGGGTCAGAGCTTCTTGGAGGCACAGGCCATGGCTTGCCCACCGCAGCCAATGGCCTGCCAGGCACAGCCCATAGCCATGGAGGCCAGGCCTGAAAGGAGCAGAGGCTTGCGGCTTGCGTGAGGAGGCTTCATGCCCATGTCGTCAGATGTTATCTTTGTGCTCACTCTCATTTGGAAGCATTCTACCAGTTTGACCCCAACTTCCATATGTGCAGGTCAGACCACTGCAGCCTCTGAGACAAACGAAGCAGCCTCAGGACGCCAGATCCGAGACAGCTGTGCTAGAGGTGCTAGGGTAACTTGCATGGTTGTGCTTGCCATGCACGGCCCGGAAGATACGTGCTGAAGTCCGCCGTTCTACAGTACCTAAAGGAAGGATGAAGGATCCAGGATCTTTGTGTTTATGTCGGAAAAGCGGCCCCCTTTTTCTGCCGCACGCAGGACGACGCGCAGGCGGTCCTGGCGGCCGCCGGTGCGGGCATGGCAGCTGCCCTGCTGGAGGCACACTTCGCAAGTGCAACATGTGTAACATGTGCATTTGCATGACGGCGCGATGCTCTGTTTGTGTCATGTGTACGTGAATGGTTCAATCTTCAGGACCCAGTCGAGCAGCAGTCGCAGCAAGAGGCACATCGGCTGTGCTTTTGAGGGCAGTCTCGCCTGTCTCACTCTTTAGCCTCCTCCAGCTGCCCAAGCCAGCCGTAGGGCAGCAGCGCTTGTCGCAAGGCCGCAATGCAGAGCCTGCTCATGCCAGGTCACGGCCCCAGGATTTGTGCATTGGCAAGGTCAGACTCGCTAAGCCCCTGTACGTAGCCCTGAGCCGTAGCCTACATGGCCGAAACACCAAACGTGTCTGCCTCTTCTAGTTGAGTTCTGTGATGCACAGGAACCACGAGGTAGTAGTCCCCACCCAGGGAACGGCACACTGATATGGCTAACCCAAACATCCGAAGCCCAACGGCCTAGGCGGCCCAGAGCATGCAGCCATGCTCGCAGGCCCATATTCCAGGGACCGATTTGGATGCAATGCGCGGTTGCCTTTGGTCATACATCTCAGTAAGTAGTTATTACAGCAATTAGTGATTATGTTCCGAGTGTCACGGTGGGACCGATTTGGGTCTTCCGCTTTCTTGTGCGATACATAGTAGCACTAGTACTAGTACTACTACTACGACGACGACTACTACTACTACTGCTTCTACTGCAGCTTGCGCCACACGAAGGAACAATCAGAGTGTTGGGATCAGAATCATTCCCATGAGTCTACAAGTATGCAAGCTCTGCCTGCAGACTTCCACGGCTTCCCGCCGCAAGGGACGGTGCTGCGCTGGGCAGCCCGCAGCTCAAAAACCTCAGTTAAAGGATGGTTTAGCAAGGAGGAAGGAGACCGGCACCCATTGACGTTCAGTCCGAGCTTTTGTCAGCCTGTGGGAGGTGGTGGGTATCGCTGAGCTCGGTCCACTGGAGAGGTCAGTTTGGAAAAGTTGCGTGCCACCCTGAGGTCCCAACGCCAGCCAATGCGTGGCCAAGTGGACAAGCCAGCATGGACATCACTGTACCCTCAGAGATGCCGCCCAGCTGCACGGAGCTCCTGAAGTCAGCCCGAGCTGCCTTCAAGCTGCCAGCGCATGGAGTCGACGTTGCTGTTGGCTTCCACAGTGGAGAGCACTGTCACAAACCCAAGTTAGGCTTTCGCAAATAGAATATTGCAGGAATGAAGCTATACTTGTTTATGAAGTTTATGTGAACATACACACGTAACTACTACTGTTCGCAACAACCAACACACCCCCCGAAATTCCCACGAGCCCCTGCGCCGTATGCACCCGTTGTTTTGGCTCAGGGTTTTCGCGAGCCCAGCGCCGACCTGTGTGCTTTGACCTCAGCGTTCCGACTGGTCCGACTCAGGTTCTTAATTTTAATGATCAGAGATTGCATTGCTCATTCCAGAAGTACTGGCGTAAACCGGCATGGGGGGTGGAAGCACAGAGCGTAAGCCAACCGAGCGGTGACAAGCCCCCGACGGTCGCTTGCTTTCAGATGTCATGAGTGCGAATACCGAAAGATGGGTCCCCGGGTTTGCTGGTGCATGCACTCTAGAGCCGGTAAGGGCATGCCATGCTTCTGCACGTCCTCGAGGCCAGCATGGTTCGACCTCAGCCAAGCCATCCACGTCATTGCAGGCTAAGGTGCGACCCAAGATCTGCGCGGCCTCCTGCCGGGGACACTTGCATATAGTATGTCAACATGACCAGCCTCATAGTCCCACTTGCCCCAAGAAGCTCGTGTCCAAATTGATCATGTCGCCTGCTTGAGTTTCACTTTGGCTTCAGCAGCAGCATGGGGAAGCTTGAAGTACTGTACTTCGATGAGTCACGAGGAAATCGACCGCCACATCCGACAAACAAGCAAGCAGTTGTGAGCAAACAGCGTGGTTGGAGCATATTGGTTAGGAGTAAAATCTTAGTAGAAGCCACTTCGTCAGACCTGTCTACCCTCGTTCAGCGAGAGAGTGGAAGCGTTTTGAACCTGCGATGGCATTTGCTGACCCATGTTCTTGCAGAGCTAGCAGCTAGCAGATGACCCGAACTTCCTTGACTAAATACTCGGATAGGAGTCGCATGGCAACAAGGGAGAAACATCACCAGCAGCAGCAACCCAGAGCACCATCGGACGTCGCAGCCTTTCATGACTGCCATGTCAGCATCGGTGGTGAAGTCCAGCAGCTACTACACCACAGCCACAGGATTGCTCCGAAGTGCCTTGCGGGACTCGGACCTCGTACAGTGCATGTAGAAAGTATGTAAACATAGCCGCAATCATCATCATCATCATCGTCACCATCAATATCGCCACCAGCATCATCAACATCAATACCAGCATCAACATGAGTGCCAGCATCATCGTCACCGTCACCATCGATACAATCATCGATATCATCAACAGCAGCGCCTTCACCCATGCTTCCATGCTGATACCCTGTATAGCATGCAACGGTTCAGAACTTTCTGGCGTTCAGGCGCCCCAACTCCAGAAACTGGAAGTAGAAGTAGAAGTGGCGAGACAACGGCTTCTAAGAGTGCGACACGAAGGACGCATCCAGGAGGCATTGGCTCGGCGGGTTTGCAGGGCCATGTTCCGCAGCTCGTCGCTGCTTAGAGTTAGACATACCCAAGGGATGGAGCCGCAATGCTCGGATCAGGCACTCGAAGTGCATCATGTGTTGTGTTCGAAGATTTCTGAAGTCGAGCAGGAGAAGAGGAAGAGTACGAAGAAGAGACGGAAGATGATCCAGAGGTCTGGACTGCATGGCCAAAGACCGAAGAGATTGGAGCATGCATCTCGCGTCACCTCGATGGTCCTTTGCGACAGCTTCTGGTTAGTCTTGTGTCAAGCGATAAGTAAACAGGTACATGAAGAGGCGGCCACCGAGTGTTCTTGATTGCCAGGAGTCGTCGGAGGCTTCGTCGCTCCATCCACCCCCGCTGCCAAGGGTTGCGGCTTGGACACAGCTTGTAAAAGGTGGTGATGTCAAGCCCCCCAGAATCTAGTCTCTCCAGCGAGTCCAATAACCGGGCGTGAGCAGATTGCAGTGCCGTCGAAGTTTGGTGGATTTTTGGTCAAGTGCCCATGGCTGTCATCGTAAAGAGACAGAGCGATGGGCAATCGGACCCTTCAGGTTGCGGGACGCTTCCGGCTGCAGGGCGAGATTGGCTCTGGCTCCTACAGCGTGGCTGGGATCAATCTGACGTGGAGAGCAGTCTTGCCATCTGGTTTCACAAAGTAAGCAGAAACCCCCAAAACCCAACGAAGGAAGTCTACATGGGGAAGGAAGACGACTCGGGCGTTGAGCTCAGATTGACTTGCTGCTGCACAGACACGTGTCAAACCTTGGCCACTGCCTTGTTGATGTAGGCGGTTTGTGGCTGAAGACACGGGAAGGGGAGGCAAGTGTTGGCAAAGCGCGCGGTTTTACACAATGTAGACAAGCAGATGTGTCTCGAACGACTACCCCACAACGAAGACGAAGAACAAGAATATCACTTCTTTGCAGGGGGCTCCGACAAAACGTCATGCTAGAAATGTAACTCAGAGTTCCAACATCTGAGATCCAGTCTGTAGCTGGTCGGCTACATTCGTCTATCGCTGGGAGTTTATGCGAATGTCGCAAACGAAGCATTGGAGAGAGGCTGGACACTTCTTGGCTAGAAGTTCCAAAGCACATCAGGTGACAACGTGGCCATCAAAGTCGTATTGGCCTCGGAAGCCTATTCCATCGCTTGCATAAAGCCATAAAGCACAATGCCTATTCCGAGGAATGGCACCATTCGGAGAAGGGTGCAAAGCTGCCCTTGCCTCAGCAGATCTGCCACAAGGGGGAAATCGTCAGAGTTTGAGGCCCTTTGCATGCAATGTGAAATGAAAAGGGGACTCCGGAACACAAGTATGCTCATCGTGCTCAGCAACCGGAGCATGTCCATGAGTTGGCTAAGCCCAATTGTAAACTGAACCCAGGTTGGAAGAGGCGAAGTTCTACAAATCTCTCGGTCTCCACAGCCGTGAGGCTCGCTGGTGGTAAATTCTGCTCGCCCCAAATCTTACAACACACTACAAACACATCAACCTCTACAGATCCCAAAGATAAGTCCGTTCTGGTGACTGATCTGTTGCTGAATGGACTCCTGCAAACCTCTCCGCCTCGCGCCCAGACCCGTCTGCAGGACCCTCAGTGGCCTCTCATCAGCGCCTCGGCTGTTTCGGGCCACTGGTCTCCGCCTTTCGGTCTGAGTCGCAAAGCGTCTGAGCTCTGCGAGCTTCAGGATGGGTTGGAACTGAGGGGCAGTACGACATGATGGTCATGGATTTGCCCCTTGTCTCACATGTCGTTGGTTCGTCGACATCGTGACATGACACGTGTTGGACATGTGCTTCTTGGTCTCTGGGCCAGGTCTTGGACAGCCCAGATGTCATCACTACTAGAACTGTCGTTCTGCGGTTGCGTGAGGCTTGGACCATCCCTGGATGCATGCTTCAAGCACTGTGGATCATTTAGTCTGAAGACTGTATTGACAGTTGCCATTCAGTCCCTTGGAGGCAGCAAGAGGCAAGCTATTCCTGTCGGTGCATTACAGTCCCAGACCACGCAATCGCAGTTTTTCACCGATGTCCTTGCACAGCACTTTTTTGGGCTATGTGCAATGCATCGCTTTGCATCTCCTGTTGCGATAATACAGGTGTTGTAATGAGACGGCGAGCTTAGGATTATCGACCGCCTCGAATACGTGCACAACTGCGGCAT